GCCATGGGACAGAGCAACTGTCCCCCAGCACCACTCTCTGGACACAGTCTGGACACAGTGGTGCCCCCAACTCCCAACCCAGCCAGCCTATCCAGAAGGACACCATGGTTGATGGTGTTGAAAGCCACTGAGAGGTCCAGGGGGAACAACAGGATCACACTCCCCCTGTCTCTCTCCCGGCAAAGGTCATCGCACAGGGCAACCAAGGCAGTCTCCATACCAAAACCTGGCCTAAAACCCAATTGAAATGGATCCAGAAAATCCGTTTCATCCAGCAGCACCTGGAGTTGCCTGGCCACAATCCGCTCCAGCACTTTGCCCAAATAAGGGAGGTTTGCTACTGGTCGATAGTTAACCACTAGCCTTGGGTCCAGGTTAGGCTTTTTAAGGAGTGGCCAAATTACCTCCTCTTTCAAGGTGGTAGGGACCAGTCCATCTCTCAAAGAGGCGTTCACAGCCTCCTGGACCCAGGTGCAAGCCCCCCTGGCAGATCTTCCAATTAGCCAAGATGCACAAGGGTTGAGTGGAGTGGTGGTAGAATAGACAGATCCAAGCACCCTGTCCACATCCTCAGGTCTCAACAATTGAAACTCATCCATGATGCACAGGGGAATGGGCTCCAGACCGATTCCAATCTGTGACCAAGCTGGACCTTTTTAGTCCAGCAGTTGGGCTTCTACTTTTTGGGGCCAATCTGGAGCAGACGGAACAACCACTTTAAGGGAGACTGCTGCTGTTAAAGTGACTTTTTCTGATACAATCAAGTGCATGTCTTTAAAGCCATCTGGTTGTACCCACTTTGAGTTCAGCAAGGGACAATGACATCCTATACCACCCTGCTCAAGATTCTGTTCTTCAGTCCACGAGTAGCTGGGAAAGAAATAGATTTCCCAGTACTGTACATTGTTGCAAGCTACCTCCTTTGTAGTGCAAAATATTTGAAAGTGATTTGGTCTTGGAAAAGGCGTTCACAGCCTCCTTGCACCCAGATGCAAGCCCCCCTGGCAGATCTTCCAATTAGCCAAGATGCACAAGGGTTGAGTGGAGTGGTGGTAGAACAGACAGATCCAAGCACCCTGGTCACATCCTCAGGTCTCAACTCAATTGAAACTCATCCATGAAGCACAGGGGAATGGGCTCCAGACCGATTCCAATCTGTGACCTAGCTGGACCTTTTTAGTCCAGCTGTTGGGCTTCTACTTTTTGTGGCCAAGCTGGAGCAGATGGAACAACCACTTTAAGGGAGATTGCTGCTGTTAAAGTGACTCTTTATGCTACAATCAAGTGCATGTCTTTGAAGCCATCTGGTTGTACCTACTTTGTGTTTAGCAAGGGACAATGACATCCTATACCACCCTGCTCAAGATTCTGTTCTTCAGTCCACACAGTAGCTGGGAAAGAAATAGATTTCCCAGTACTGTACATTGTTGCAAGCTACCTCCTTTGTAGTGCAAAGTATTTGAAAGTGATTGGTCTTGGAACAGTCAATTCAGAGTCATTAGCTTTACAATAGACTTGTTCCTATACTGGAACCAAAAAATGAAGCATCCCCACCAGAATCAAAGAACATGAGAGACACTGCAGACTAAAACAACCAGAAAAATCTGCAGTAGCTGAACATGCCCTAAAACAAACTGGACATGAAATTCTATTCCAAAATACTGAAATACTGGACAACACCAGCAATCATTACGTCAGACTGCACAGGAAAGCCATTGAAATCCACAAGCACCAGCTTCAACAAAAAAAAAAGGAAAATGTGAAGCTCAACAAAACTTGGCTCCCAGCTATCAAAAATACAGCGTGCAAAAGGTCAACAAATTCTACACAGCCACAAGGACAGGGGATCACTATATACACAAGACCAGCTAATGACACCCATCAACCACAGTGACAGATAATCTCTTCTCCTTAGCACAACAATACACCCACAACAAGACACACTAATCACCCATCTACAAAAAAAGACAAAAGCCTATCTCACAGCCATAAATACTGCACCCCCAAGCCAACTACACCAGAGCACAGGTTGCTGTCCTCTGAAGATGCTGGCCACAGAGACTGGTGAAACGTTAGGAAGAACAACCTTCAGAACACGGCCAAAGAGCCCGAAAAACCCACAACAACCATTGTTCCTAAGTTATTGATACAGACATATCTGTTTGCATTTTTTGGAATGTCTTGGAGGGTAGAACCTGCTAAGGAGACATTCATGATGCAAACAAGGACACCTCCAAATTTACCACACCGCTGTATAGCTACTAATAAAACTTCACTCCTCTGGCCCCTTCCGTGTCTGTACAACTTTCCTACCACAGCTGCCTTACTCCATTCCTTTTCACCATCAAATCTTCTTTTGTTCTGCCATTCATTCAGTAAAATCACATTTGTTGTTCCTGGGTTAGAATCCTGGATGTTTCATTATTTGCCTTTAGTCTTCATTGTGGGTTTTTTCTCTTCTCATTAAACCACATAATACAGAGTCCTGCCCCCTCTGCAGGATGATTGGAGTGCAATCTGTTTTGTTTTTGGTCAATTTTTATAACAGATTCTGAAGAAGACTTTTCTGAGAGCTAATTACTGAGAGGAATTTCAGATTTTGGAGGGGGGCATATGGGGAGGATGAAGGGCAAACATGCAAATTAAAACCACTAACTAAAGAAGACAATGAAGCACAGAACCGCAGCCAGTACCCTCACATAGCCAATGGTACAGTGGAGCCAGGGCACTCAGGCTCAAAACCCCAAGGCTTTCTGAATACCACAGACTAAGACATCATCTGCCACTCCTTAGACTTCCCTGTTGCCTCTAGGCTTAGCTGGACTCCTCTTAAATGGGAAGGAAATGGATTTTGCCAAGAATACTGTATTGTTGCATGCTATCCCTGTTAGGATGCAAAGTGTTTAAAAGTGGTTTTTGTTTTTGAATGGGCCATGAAGAGTGATTCATTTAAAAGACCTGCTCCTCATTTGTTGATATGGACTAGTTTCATCCCAGTTCACTGCACAGTAGCAGTGGAGAGAATTTAGCTGAGACCCTGTTTGAATCACCAATTTATCTGACCCAGTTCCCTCCTGTACTTGGTGTTGTTTGACTTTAAATTCTTAATTTCTGTAATTTGTTAAAAAAAAAGCTTAAATACTGCAAGAGACCAGTAAGTGTTTTAATATTCTGCAACATTTTACTCCAGGGAAGGTGCATTCATGACAAAGCAAAAGGATTACTGCATAAAAAACTGGACCATATGTACACTCTGCTACATGAATGTTCACATCAGCAGTCCCATATACAGCTGTTGGATGCTACCGGAGAATAACTGGATAAGCGTACTGACCAAAATCTATGCACATATAGACCTTACATATGTTGAATACAAGTTGCAAACATTTTTGTTTGATTTAGGTCACAATCACATGGACCATAAGAACTGCATTTATACCAAGTCTGCCGTTATTTAAATGGTTTTATAATTAAAAATATAATTAAAAATTGTAAACCACCCGGAGAGTGCTTGTAGCGCTATGGGGCGGTATATAAGTCCAATAAATAAATAAATAAATAAATAAAATTTCTATTCACATGACACGTGTACTGTATAAGATAAATTTATTTGGCCAACCAATCAATGTTTTTCAACTTTTCTGTCATGGGCCTTGTATTATGAAACATTTTCCAATACAGTACAGTGGGGTCTCTACTTAAGAATGTCCCTACTTAAGAACAGTCCAACTTAAGAACAGCTCCATTTGCTAAATTTTGCTTCTACTTGAGAACAGAAATCCAAGATAAGAACAGGAAAAAAAACCTTTCCTGCTCTTTTTTTAACCTTAGGTCATCTTAGGTTAAAAAAAATTCTCCCCATAGTGGTAGAGTACGTATTAACTAGCTTTGGTTAATGTACGAACGCACCTCTACATAACAAAAAAACAGCCAGAACGGATTAATTGGTTTTCAGTCCATTCCTATGGGAAATTTTGCTTCAACTTAAGAACATTTCAACTTAAGAACACCATTCCAAAACGGATTAAGTTCTTAAGTAGAGGTTCCACTGTAGCTTCTATGGACGGAAAAGAGCAGATACGGATTAAATGGTTTTCAATGCATTCCTATGGGAAATGCAGATTCAACATAAGAACTTTTCAACTTGAGAACCACCTTCCAATACAGATTAAGTTCTTAAGTAGAGACCCCACTGTATTGCCTTCACACAAATTTAAACGTTACTTCAGTGATATATAGTTTTTTTAAAAAACAGCAATTTAAGAGCAGTGCACTAAACAGAAAAGAAAATGAGTTAATTTTTTTGAGTAGGCATTTATAGCCTACAAAACCTGTTCAAAGTTCAAGAAATGTATTGAAAGAAAAGACAGCTCGGCAATTTGTATATCACGTGACTAAAGATAAATATATATCAGTATAAATGAAGTAGGAAATTGAAGTGATTCAAATGTCCCATGTAATTAGGCCCTTAGTTTCTGCTTTATGCAGTGGAAGTGGAACGGATTTTGACAGCTGGATGTGACTAGCACCATTCTGTTTACTCAGAATTTACTAGCTGTTGCACTGTTCCAGGGGAAAACAACGTCAACCACAGGACAAAAGATCCTGTCTCCCTGAATAATGACTGCTACTTTCTTAAAAACAGAATGCGTAAGAACAGCACAACTAAGACCATTCAGGGAAAGGAAAATGGACATCCAGAGTAGCCATCAAAGTTACATCTGACTCTGTTGCTAGCAAACAAAAATAAGTACTCCCCACAATCCCAGGGAATGGTACCCATTCTTTCTTCACTACAAGAAATAAAAGCTGAATAGAATTCAGTTTGATCCCATGCATTTGGAGTCACCATTTGGAACCAGAATTTCATGTCAAAGAAATACTGCTCTAAATGTGATTTTCTGTGTACCGAACTGCACAGGATAGTTATTCATATTATTATCTTAAATGGTGGGGTTAGACTTGATGGCTTTAAAGACCCCGTCCAACACCATTATTCAATTATTCTCTACAGAAAAGTAGAGGTCTCCGATCGAAAATTAATTGCAAATAAGGTTTAGTCAAAAAATCTGAACTTATTTTCTTCCTTTTCTTAAGATTTTCAAGCTGCCATTGAGGATGTCCTGCCTACTCTCAAGAAAGAGGGGATACAGGTTTTCTACCTGAGTGATGACTCTCCAACCAAGGGTGTGCAAGCTTTGCTGGGACACATCAAATGCAGCTCACCTGAACCGGTGCCTGTTTCCTGCAGGTCCAGTTTATCTCCTAAATCCCCATCCTTATATATTTTCACCTCAGGGACCACAGGTGAGAATGTTAAGATGGTGGCTGAAACTAGGACCTGAAGGATAGAGCAAGCTGTTAGGCATAGTAGTCTACCTTTCCCTTGGTTTCTGCCAGCCCTTTCCCTGGACTCTTCTGATGATCATTGATGATCATTCCAGAAGATCCATAACCTACTGTTGGCTTCACGCCTTCCCATTCTTAGCACCTCCAGCTAAAAAACAAGATCTCACACATTGTTTCCAAGGAGATAGGTAAGTCGTGGACAGCTACTGAGAGTCAGAGGGGCAATACTGGACTAGAGGGGCCATTCGTTTGGCTCATTTCTAGAATCAGGACCAGTCTGAACTATTACAGTCCATGTAGGCCTGTGAGGTCAACTGTCCTGCTTCTCAACCTGTTTCTTCACCCAGCTGCACTGCTGCAAATGAGGGTGATGTCCGTTTTCCAGACATTACATGTGCCTGCCTTTTGTCCCACTCAACAGACAACCAAGAGGGGTGGATGTGTCTTCTGACTCTAGTATTCACTGCAGAAAAATTGTATGATAATCGAAACATGGGGTGACATCCCCATGCCTTCAGAACCTCCCACCCCATTTTTTAAAAAAAGAAAATTACTTGAAAGGACCCCATAGCCACAAGTGGTACAAGGAAGGGCCAACTTCTCCCAAGTTTTGAGCAAGCTTTTAGGGCCTCCTGCCCGATTTTAGGCCGAGACAAAGCCTTCTTTAAAAAGTCATCTGAAGTAACTTATTTTGTAGAGTCTGGGCCTAATGTATGTGATGGATTTTAAAGTGATGGGGAGGGAGAATAGGTCGAGGTGTTGAAAGGGGCATTATAGAGTGTCCTATGTGGCTAATGGGCCATACTTTGTCCATCCCTCTTCAAAAACAAAGTCCTCTCAGAGATCCTGTGTATGCCATTAAATAATTAACGGTTGAGTTGGGTAGATATTAGAATTGTGGGCATGGGAAGGAGACTTGTATGACTGTAAATTGTATATTATTTCTTGATTGAGGGAGTCACTTCAGGTTGTTACAACAAGCCCTTTCCCTTTCTTTTCCTGCCTCAAGGGCTACCGAAAGCTGCGATCATCACCCGGAGAAAGCTGCTTCTTGTGTCTGCCATGTACCGCCTCTGTGGGGTGTGTCCAAAGGACATCATCTATGTCCCACTCCCAATGTACCACTCAGCTGCGCTTCTCATTGCAATTGGAGGGTGCTTGGAGGTTGGTATGTACAGAATGTTCACGAGGGGCCTAAAAACAGATCCACTTGTAGGTGTGTGACAGAAAGACAAGGGATAATGTAGCCACATATTAGGACGATAGGAGAGATGGTGTTTATGAGACAGAGAGATATTGCAGCCTTTTAAGGATAAAGGTGGGATAGAAATATTTTTATATTTAATTAATTAATTTCAGTGAAATGAGATATATGTGTGCATAAGATTTGGGAATACAAAATTTACACCCACATCTGTAGACTTTGAATATTCATATATGAATGTGGATTTCAGAATTTGAATTGTGAGATTTAAGTTGAATGATTTCACCATTAGCCTTTTCTCTTCTTGTACTGCGTGCAAAATCATGCTGTTAGTGGGACATCCTGAATTTATCTTCTATGTGTGTTTCCCCTCCCCTCCTTTTGAAACAAACCTATATGTTTTGAACAATTTTAATATTTTAGCGTTAACTTCTGTACCATTATGAAAGTCAGAATTAATCAAAAGGAGTGCTAGAGCAAGGGGATCTAAACATGTTTCTAGAAAGACTTCTTTGCTCAACCTTTAAAATATATGTCACTTTTAAGTTGAAGTCCCCAAAGTTGCCTAATCTTTTGAAGATCAAAGTTACTCTTGTTGATCATTAGACTGGGATTAGGCCAGAATTTTCTTGCATTCCACAGTCTGATTCAGTGTGTGCCCCACCTCCAAACTGGTTGTACTGTATATATAAGCTAGATGTGGTATGGGTTGCACTGTTTGTCCTTGCCTAGCTGCTTTTTAATGTATATTATACTAAATATTAAATATATTATATGTATTATAGTA